TTGAAATCAATAACAAAAGTAAACTGTAAATACATTAAAGTTAGTATATACATAATTAAAAAAATCTTGTAAATATGCAAATAAAATGGGATTTGAATGTGAACAGTGTAATTTTCTTAAATTTGTGTCTATGGACCCATGTAAGTGTAATCCTACACTAATATATCTTGCTCCTGGTAGAATCGACCTTCCTTGCTTTAGAAATAGCACGTGTTGAGGGGTCCAAATTGTGTAACAAAAAACATGTAACAACAACAATATACTCAGTATATTCCCAACAGGTTGGGGTCTGGGAATCAGTTATACGCAGACCTTACCCTTGTAATTATACAAGGAGGCTGTATCCGTAGCGACCCAAGGTGCATTGCGCCTTTAATATATTTTTTTCTAAAAAATTCACTAATAGAAGGAACACTAGAATTTAATTGAGCCATTTTAATCTAGTCCATTATTTGCACTATGTCAGGAGAATTGTCAACAATGACTCTTCCAGCTCCATTTGCAATGGACAAAGTAAAAAAAAAAATATATAAACTTTGTACAACATATTAACATCCAATAGCATAGTTACAAACTTTGTACAACATATTAACATTTCTTCATAAATAAAAAATACTCAAGTGTAATTATCATGATATATATGCCGTGACCACATTGTATTTGCATTAATTTGCCTTAATTTGTCATCTCTCAAATATTGAAAGGGAACTTTCGGAAAGCTATGTAAATCAATACGAAAATAAGATATAAATATACTGATACATTGTTATAATTCTTTTAGGCAAAGCTATAGCCCAACCCAAGCCCCAATATAGCTATGCCCCTGAATGTCGCCACGTTCGACATGTTCGAATGGCGACTTGACGTGAGTTACAAGTGTTTCCGAACCAAAAGGGTTATATAGAAGAGAACTATTTGTTCAAGGTGAAGGGGATCGACGGGCTTTTCGGGGCATTTGCCTTTGGAGATGAGCCCAAGGTGAGAGTTTATAGGATCTTGGAAGAGTTGAAGAGGTGAAATTTGGTTGAGGATTTCGGGGACAAGTGACATTCATCATATTTTCATGCATTATGAGTGATATATTGTGATATTTGGTCATGGTTATCGTGTGATTGTGCACCATTTTGTTTTATTTATTAATCTATGATAGAGGTGCTTTTGTCGTTGGTTTTGCAGGAAATATGCCCGAAAAAGCGTTGGAAATGGAATCGGGACGAAAAACGGCGAGAACCGGTGCAGAAGAGGTCACACGACTCGTGTGGGTAGTGACACGGTTCTTGTGGGTTGAGGATATAAAAGACGCAGCTACGGCTTTTTCACACGGGTCGTGTGGGTTGAGACACAGGTCGTGTGACCTCACACGACTCGTGTGACCAGTCGTGTGAGTCTGGAAGTTTGCCGAAATGTTGAGAAAAGTCACACGACTCGTGTGGCATGTGACACGACTCGTGTGACGCGCATACCAGATCTGCGGAGAATAGGATTCTTGTGTGATTTCTTCCCTTTCTCGACCCAGAATTGCCCTACAGTATAAAACAGACCTTAGGAACTCGTTTTTGGCACTTTTGACACCATTGGAGGCCTAGAGAAAGCACGAAACACACGAGGGATTCGAGGAAGTCAAGATTGAAGACTCGGGAACTAACGGCGACAATAGTTCTTCTTTCTTTTCTCTTTTTCTTCTTCATTGAACTCATGGATTTATTTATTTTGAGTTTTGAGAATATGTTTAGTAGCTAAACCTTTTAAGGATTCTAGGATTTGCGAGTACTCGGATTATTTTATGAAGTGATTTTGTTTATTCATTCCGGTTTATCATTCGTTTATCAATTTTTTGTGTTTATTTTAATTGTGTGAATATAAGGCTCGTATTTGTGCATATTTGTGATTGACTTGAGACCGAGAGGAGATAGTTAATTGCTAGAATTGGAAAATTCATAACGTAAGAGACTAAACAGACCGAGAGGTTGATAAAATCTTGCGAGGGAACTAGAATCCTAGGAGCTTAAGGGAGTTGATTGTTCATCTTGAGACCGAGAGGAGATAGATAACAATTAATATCTACGATTTAACTTGTTCGAGAGAAACGTGTAAATTACTTTAGCGATTGTCCCTACGAATGTTAGAATTAAATAAGATTTGAATGAATAAGAAATCTTTGCTAGAATAATCCCGAGGAAAGCATAGCCTAGAATCTATTTTCTCATTCTTGATTTATCTTAGAACAAGCCTTCATTAGTGTTAGAATTTATTTTGCAATCATTCATTAGTTTAGAATAAAATCACCATTTAAACTTGCATTAGACTGAATAATATTTAACCATTTACATTTTGATACTTAGTTATTTTGACAACAATCTCTGTGGAATACGACCTTGCTCGCCACTCACTATAGCTATACCGTACACTTGCGGGTAGTGAAAATATTTTGCGAACAACAAAGTGTTGTACCTTAGCTCCTTTTCGTCAACACGGCTCGTACAGAAGCCAACACGTGCGAAGATGCGCTTTACATTACGAGATTGGCTCGTGCCACGTGGGTGATACCTGCACCGATCATCCCAACTATGACCTTATTACTATTTGAATTTTTATTCATTGTTATATATATGTTTAGGTGTTTTGTTTAATTTTTTTAATAATACTTGAAAAATATTTTATTATTGTTATTATTATTATTTGCTATTTAAAATGATACCATCACCTATAAGACCGATTCATAAAAGTGTATTTAATTAATATTTTGTATATGCAGTATGGATACTAAATTAAAGATCTTCAAAATATTATTAATTTAGTATTACGAAAAAATTGAAGAAAAAAATATAAAAGTTATTAAGTTTTAAAATATATTTATAATTTAATTAATCTAGTGTTTTATATTTTAAGAATTAAAGTAAGAATGAATAAAAATATGTCCCACCAAGGGTCATATTTTAAAAATTAGAGTAGAAAGGAGAGGTATATATACGTCTTTCAAGGGTCATTTAGGTTCTAGGCATATTTTAATAGTCAACCTCAAATGTAGCCAATTATTGAGGGGTCAATTTATTGAGAGGTCAATTCGCTAAGCTCAGAGGTAGCCAATTGAGCCTATCGTGTAGATCCAATTGTCAATAGCCAATTGAGCCCATCAAACATTGAGAGGCCAATTAGGACGGCTATTTAGATTCCAAGTAGATTCCAATCGCCAAGCATAGAGGTTGTGATTGGTCGAAAAAAGTGTATATTTTATATATTTATTAATGTATCTTTATATACTTAATTTTATTTCACTTATATATTTTTTGATTCATTTATTTATTAGATGGATTAAGTGTTATGATATTTTATGTCTTATTTTTAGGATATTAGAGTATTACGTGGATATGAAGGATGTTCACGTAACCAATTATGGAGCTTCCCTTACCGGCCCAATTTCAGCCTAAGCCCAATTGGCCCAATTATAAAAAAAAAAAAATCAAAAGTGCCATGAAAGATTATTAATTGACAGTCCATCACGCCACCTTGGAGATGTTGGGATCTGTGAGGATCTCGTTATGTACAAATCACGAATTCAATAGCAAACGTAAACCTATGCGCAGCGGATCTAAAGGTTTGACGTAGAGAACTTACGGCTTAAAATTTATGTAGATCTGGTTGACCACGAACGGTTGACCGCAATTGATTGACCGCAACACGCGTCTTGGGTTGCACGAACAAGATCAGATCAAAACTGGATCAAACGGATGCAAACAGATCAAAACGAAATTTTGCTGCCAGACACCTTCCGGCGGCGCGTGAGGGCGCGTGCGGCGTCGGATTCCGGCGACGTCGGCGGCGATGGAAAGCTCTCGTCGAGACGGTCGTCTGGGTATACTGTACGTCTCAATCGGACTTCCGGTTAGTTCTGTAGGTCAAAATCAATTTCGTCTCGGTTTACCTACAGATCTTCTACTGTATTACTCAATACACCCTTCTTCAACTTGTACCAGTGGAGCAACAAGAAGAAGATAAAGCTCGAATGAGATCTAGAGAGAGAGATGGTTTCACGTGAGAATGAGACTTCTATTCTCTTCTCATGAGCTTAATGATGTATATATAGAGCTACAGTAGGGACCCTAAGGAGATTAGGAAAAGGGCTCCTTAATTAATTAGACTAACTGTGGGCCAAACCCACTCCTCTAATTAATTAAATAATATTAATGGGCCACCAACATTATATTATTGCACTCCCTTTCCCTAGCCCAAATTACATTTGAGACTCCAATAATAATTACTCGATTTACCTCCCCACGTTTAAGATATAATGTCCATTAATTAATTCGATTACTGACAATCAAGAATTAATTAATTTATTATTATTTCACCGAAGCTAGCGCTCGTTCATCACATTCTTATTATGCCGGAATTTAATCCACCTGCAGGGTTTAGCATAACAATCCTTCATGAACTCACTCCGGGGACATCATCAAACTAACGCACATGGTGACCGTAAATATCCTAACAGCACATCCTATATATAATAATATTACCCAAAACAGTAGGAATATTAATCCAGCGAACTGAACCTCACCCATGTGAATCAAAGTAATATATATTATATATATCTGCCTGTTTAATATCTTACGGGTTAAGAGAACGCAGTAATTAACCGAGGCCTAGTTCATTTACGACGATCAGTATAAAATGAACTTCTCCTCTCTGG